GAGAGTCCAAGTTGCAGTAAAGGCATGGTTGTTGGCAGAGCATTTCGTAGTGCAAAACTACAAATAAATGAGGGTCAGAGTAAAGGCATGGTTGTGGGACCAAAATCATCCATCTCACAATAAAGAGATAACCTAAATTGACGTAATTGCCCCTCTCTCATACGGTTATCTAACAGAAATATAAACGGAGGACCAAAAATGTCCTCGCCACAATAACTCTGTCCATAAATGGCAAATTTTTTTATAAAGGACTAAAATTGTCCAAGCCACTATAAGTCTAGGACCAAAAATGTCTTTTACTCTAAAATTATGTATTGAAATTATAAACTTAAAAAAATATGTATTGACCAAGGTGGTGCAAATAGCAAAATGAACTCCCATTTGGCTATTTACACCACCTATGTAATTATTAAAAGTTTTCACCTTTTTAAAATTTTAAGATACTTTATACCCACTTTTGACTAAAGGGTGGTGCAAATAGCAACACCCATGTAAAAACATATATGATCTATATTTACAGTATATTATTAACCACCTTTCAGACTTCCTCCTTAAGACTTCAAGTAGTGTGGGTGGGTGCCAACAACTTATTGTAAATCTTTTTTTTTTTTAAATGAAATTACCCCATGTTTAGTTGAATTTTGTACTAATCCAATTAGTGAAGTAACTACCAACAGGGGCGGAGCCAAGATTAGATGATGCAGAATGCCAATTATGATTTAAGAGTAAATAATTAAATACATTAATATCCATTTAACATATTTCAACATACATTATTGCATTGTAAATCTACTAAAATCGAGTAGCATACTAATATTTTCTTCTTAGTACTATGCCTGCTTTTATATATATATATATATATATATATATATATATATATATATATATATATATATATATATATATATATATATATACATATATATATATACATATATATACATATATATATATATACATATATATACATATATATATATATATATATATATATATATATATATATATACACACACATATATGTATACACATATATATATGTATACACACACACACACACACACACACACACACACACACACACACACACACACACACACACACACACACACACACACACACATATATATATATATATATATATATATATATATATATATATATATATATATGAGTAGGCACTGTACTAAGAAGAAAATATTAGTATGCTACTCGATTTTAGTATAATTAGGTTCAAATGCGGTTAAATCTGAGCCATTGATCTTGGTTAAATCAACGTCCAGGATTACTAAAATTAAAAAATAAATGTCGTGGCAATTTGACAATTTTTGCATCTAGGTCAAATTTAAGGTGCGTGGATTTTGTGCTTAATGTGAGTCGTTGTTGAAACTTAAATGCATGGTTTTCCCTTTTAAGGTGCGTTGTTTTCCTTCTTAAGGTGCAAGATTTGTAAGTTTAAGGTGCGTCAGTTGTCTGAAACTTAAGGTGAGCCATTTTAAAACCTTGGGTGCGTGGTTTGTGTTCTTAAGGTGCTTTGTTGTATGCTTAAGGTGCGTGATTTGAGTTCTTAAGGTGCTTTGTTTGTGTGTTTAAGGTGCGTGGTTTGTATATTTAAGGTTTCTTAAGGTGCTTTGTTTGTGTGTTTAAGGTGCGTGATTTGTATACTTAAGGTGCGCCATGTTAATGCTTAAGGTGCATCAACCGCACAAGAAGCCTCCCCACACCTGAACCCTTCCTTATATATATATATATATATATATATATATATATATATATATATATATATATATATATATATATATATATATATATATAGACTTGCGTTCAAATGAGGACAAGTATATTATAGAGGACTGTGAGGACAGATGTAGTGTGTGCCATTAGCATGTATGTTGTGTGCATGGCCGAATGTAGTCGTGTGCCACAGTTTGTATGTCGCGTGCATACATTTGTTAATTAATAAAGCCTGGGTTCGAAACCTGATGCTTACATATATTCTTGTGTGCCATTATGTATTAAATTGTGTGCCTGATAGTAATTTGTTGTGTGCTCATTGTTTGTCCTCACAGTCCTCTATATATTGTTGTCCTCATTTGAACTCAACCCTCTATATATATATATATATATATATATATATATATATATATATATATATATATATATATATATATATATATATATATATAATCACCCTATGCTTTAGCTAATCTTAATTAATTTTTTGTTTCAAAGTAATATCTATCTTATATATCTAATTATTTTTTTATGTAATCACCTTCTTCTTCTTCTTTGACAGGGAAGACTAAAGCCGCAATAAATGCAGTTATTCATAAAATGTTGTTTGAAGAGAAATAAAAATATAAAATACCAGTAATTCATCAAAAGATTCCAAGCTTCAAAGATATATATATATATATATATATATATATATATATATATATATATATATATATATAAATGACTAGGTTACTACTTGAGGAATATAAAAATTGATATTGTAAAAAGCCTAGAAAATAGAAAACTTAGTCTGTAAGATTGATTGGGAGAAGCCAAATATTTTGAGGAGAGAGGATACAAAAATAAGTATTATACCAAAAAGAATGGAGGGGGGGGGGGGGGGGGGGGGGGATGACATGGTGGCTCCGCCCCTGACTACAAAGGTTTAAGTTCTACTCCTATTATTGATTTTATTTTATTTTTTTTTTTGTTTAAGTTGGTCAATTATAAACAATCTAAACTAGTTTACATCCTTGTAGTCTTTTACTGATTAAGATTACAATGCGAATTTTGTTTTGTTTTTTTTTTTTTTTGTTTAAGTTGGTCAATTATAAACAACCTAAACTAGTTTACATCCTTGTAGTCTTTTACTGATTAAGATTACAATGCGAACTTCGCCCAAAGTACACATCTGTGTATAGCATTTGTAGAGTTTCTCATAAATTAAAGTGAATTTTGTGCGGTGCTATGTAGATGTAGCTTACGAGCTTGGAGGTGGGTGGGTGCCCTTTGGTTTTTGCTTGCTCCAAGCTAATGGTGAGTTCGATGTTCTAGTTAACGGTCCACCACTAGGGCCTTGGATCTTCTTATGGTGGAGGCAATGGCATGCAGGGAGTATCTTACGTGGTTAAGAGGCAATGGTTGGAACAACGGTTCATGTCCAGGTAGATTGTTAAGTGTTTTCTCGGAGTATTTCAGGAAGCCTCAAGGACCACATCTACCATGAGTATATTTATCATGATTATGTCAATTTCTTAAACTCTTTAGAGTCTTGTTCTATTGTTTTTGTGTGCCAATCAGTGAATCAACTTGCTCACGCTCTCGCGAAAAGCAGTTGATTATAGGGATGAAAATTCCATGGCAATTTTAATCCGTCCCGCATGGATCGAGTTTTTTGGGTGATAGTGGGTGATGGGTCTGTGTAGCTCTTAAAAAACTAAACCCATGCTAGGTCGGATTGGATTCAGGTTTTATGTACAAAATCCGCTTAGAACTCCACCTGATCCACCATGTGTGTGTGTGTGTGTGTGTGTGTGTGTAGGGTAGGGTTCCAGTGAGAACATGTGCTTAGGTGAGAACATGAGAACACATCATGTGCGTCCATCTAATATTTTTTAATGGTATAGATTAGATTAAGTATGTGCGAACGTGCATTAAATGTGTGCAAACGCGATTAAGTGTGTTTGCACACATTTAATGCGCGTTCGCACACACTTAATCTAATCTATACCATTAAAAAATATTAGATGGATGCACATGATGTGTTCTCATGTTCTCACCTAAATACATGTTCTCACTGGAAAGTTACTATATATATATATATATATATATATATATATATATATATATATATATATATATATATATATATATATATATATATATAGAGTCAGGTTCCTGTGAGGTCAGGTCTTCCCGTGCGGCGAGAGCGGCATACACCATTAGGTATGCATAAATGCACCACACAGTGTTCGTAAATACAACATTATGTGTGGTGTATTTTTTTTTTTGTGTGGTGTATTTTTTGACATTTCATTCTGGTGTATTTTCGAACACTGTATGGTGCATTTATACATACCTAATGGTGTATGCCGCACTGACCGCACGGGAAGACCGGACCTCACAGGAACCAATATATATATATATATATATATATATATATATATATATATATATATTAAAGAACGGCTTTATATCTTGCCCCTTCGATCCTGGCATAGCCGAAGCGATTGCTTGCAAGGAAGTTCTCTTCTGGTTGAAATTCTTGCACTATGAGGATATCATGATTGAAATAAACGGCCTTCCATTGCGCTCTCACATAAATTTGACGTATAAGGGTCTCATTATTGATGAATGTAAACATTGTATTAGCTCATTTAGAAGTGCTTCTATTAGCTATGTCTATAGATCAGCAAATCATGTTGCTCATGCTTTTGCTCGGGCTTTTGATTCTTAGTCTAGTCTTGGGGTTGGGTTATCCTTGTAAGATTATGAACTGAACTGTTTATTGATGTAAATACAACCAGCTATTAATAGTATACAAAGGAGAGAAGATAGCAGGAAGTTACCAGGATGTTGTAACAACTAGTCTAACACAGCTATTCAACAGGAGCATAACTAGAACTAAACAGAGACAAAATAAGTCGCCACATATATTCTTAACATGCCCCCGCAAGATGGAGGATCCGTCGGAGACTCCAATCTTGGAACGGAACAAAAGGAACAACGAACGGCTCAACGGCTTCGTGAGAAAGTCAGCTAGCTGAGTTGACGAAGGAATGTGCTATACCACCAGTGAACCATTTGAAACCAAGTCACGAACAAAGAAATAATCGAGCGCTAGATGCTTCATACGCGAATGAAACATCGGATTCTTACACACATACGTAGCGCTAAGGTTTTCACAAAGCAAAACTGGAGGCTTCAACAGCTGCAACCGGAGCTCATGCAACAAATTCTTAACCCACAAGACTTCTGTAGCAGCATTCGCCAAGGCTCGGTACTCGGCTTCCTTAGACGAGTACGAAACTGATTTCTGACGAGTGGACTTCCATGAAATGAGTTTGGACCCAAGATACAATAGGTAAGCGGTAGTGGACCACCCACTGGACGAGTAGCCACCCCAATCAGCATCTATATACACACTTAGCGGCAGAGGTTGCCCAGCACGAAGGAACAACCCATGACACACTATACCCTTTAGGTAGCGTACCGTTTGGCAGCCTGCCAGTGCATCTCCGTAGGCATATGCATGAACTGTGAGAGACGATTAACTGCATTGGACATGTCAGGTATAGTAATGACCAAGTACTGTAGCAGGCCAAGGAGACGCCTAAACTGAGTTACATCTACTGTAGCACTACCAGATTGTGCAGGGAGCAATTTGACTGTAGTCGCGAGTGGTGTTGAAACAACCTTTGCACCATCCATCTTAAACCGAACCAGTATGTCCGTGATATATTGACTCTAAGATAGGAGCATGCCATTAGGTGTCGGAACTACTTCAACGCCCATAAAGTGATGCAAGGAACCAAGGTCCTTAAGAGTAAACCGAGCTAATAGAGTGTTAACAAACTTATCAAGCCATGCAACATCGTTCCCTATTAATATAATATCATCCACATACACCATGAAATAAACAATAACATTATTAGCTGAATAAACAAATAAAGACACATTTGCTTGAGACTTCAAAAACCCAAAACACAACAAGAACTGGGAAAGTTCCAAGTACCAAGCCTTGGGAGCCTGTTTAAGACCATATAAGGCTTTAGTCTGTTTGCAAACATGAGGTGGAAACGAAGGATCGACAAACCCTGGTGGATGCTCCATAAACACTTCCTCATGCAACGTTCCGTGAAGGAACGCGTTATTAATGTTTAACTGGCGCAAACCCCAGCAATTACTCAAAGCAATGGTCAGAACCACACGTATAATCACTAGTTTCATAACTGGACTATATGTCTCAAAATAATCCTGGCCAGCAGTCTGCAAGAACCCTTTAGCGACAAGCCGCACTTTAAACCGGTCAACAGACCCATCTGGTTTGCGCTTGACACGGAACACCCACGAGGAACCAGTTGCCACATTTTGTTACATTGGAGCGCTTCGAACTCCTTGTAACACCCCTAAATTTCAAGATATTTAAAACTTATAAAAAGAGGGCGAATCCATTGATTTAATCCCAAATAGAGCATACAACTATCCATAAGAGTCGGGGTGCTATGCCACACCTAGGTTCGAGAACCTAGGTGCACATGCTAAACTAACTAGGCATAAGAAATCTTCAAATCAATATTCAATACAATCCCAAGGCACGCAGGCCAACTGCTGAGCTAAGACTAAGTAAGCTAAGTCCAGGCTCTGACTAGCGCGCTCCGAAGCTAAAGCTCGTCATCTGAAAAACATTCGGTATAACAACCGACAGCGAATAATGCTGGTAACCCACTCCAACGCGTTAAGTAAAATATAGGTAGATATAAGAAACTCATTTTGAAACTGGAATACATATATACTTACGAGACTCTAGTTTAAATCCAAGATCAAGACTCAAGGCATATTAACAGACTCAATATCATAGATGAAACATAGACATTAACATGCGTCCTAAACATGCAATGCAAGACATAACAGGTAGATAATCATGCAAATAACGAGTAGGGGAAACTAAGGCATTCAATACAATCAATTAGAAAGTAGTCAACAAAGCACACAGTTCATCCTCCACCCTTATACAAAGTTCCAACCGTATAACTCCCCTCCGTCCTTATATCAGTTCCAAGCTATACCTCCAGGCCACCCTTATATCCCCATCCCTTATGCCTTCGGGCAACTACATGCCCCCACCAATGAACCCACCTTTCAACCACCAACATATCAAGATGGTGCCGCAGTGCCATTCAATGATCCGCACCTCTAGTGCCAATATCAAGGGGTTAGCGCATATAGTTATAACATGACACCGCAACACTTATAACCTGACCCATGCTCAACGGCGAGCAAATCTAAGGTGGGTGTGTGCCTTTAGCACAGTCACCGCTATGACCTCTACCTTTAGTACAACGACTGGGCACAAGTGGTGCCAACCGCCAACAATTTATTTTCCACTAATCACAATCTCATCATCACATTATCATCATCATCAATCACACTGGCCATTGCGCAATAACCACGATACTCATCATCATCCAATCAATCAACACATAAACACATAACAAGCGAGACACAACAACGATGACATGTATCACACATAAAATCCTAGAACGATGCCTAAAACACCAAACGAGACTCATATACGACAAACGGGGTACAACGGGACACGGGAAAACATCAAACGGGGAAAAACACCACGAACCACGCCAGGATTCCAGCGGGTAGGTGGCGGGTGGAGGACCACCCGCCAGCCACCCGCCGGCGGCCGGTTACTATTCCAGCGGGTGGCTGGCAGGCAAACCACTGCCCGCTGGAACAGTATTGCGGGCAGCGGGTGGTCAGTCCCCCCACCTACCCCCACTGATACACAGTCAACTTTTGGGTTCCGGGATCCCTCGTGGAACCCGAAACCATGTCCAAAAACATTCAAACACATAACGACAATACTACGTATTCAAGTAACGGAATTAAACCATGAATCACACCAAATATACCCTAACTCGATTCCTAATCATGCCAAGACTTAACATAAATCACATAACGATCCAGGGACATCTGGAATCACAAGAACATCAAGAAATCTATATGAAAGTCCTAAACACAAGTCCTAGGCTAGACTCAACACCCGATCATGCAAAATCCCACCCAAATATACCAAGAATATCATAATACAAAATCCACGATATAACCCTAGGGCTCTAGACATAATCAAAATACAAGATCATTCATATAATTTATCATAGTATCAAGAACATCAAGATTATCACATAAACATCAAGATTATCACATAAGCATCAAGATTACCACATAAACACAATATAAACCCTAGGTAAAGCTCTATCAAGACTCAAGCACAGAATCATATATCAAAGGAGCCAATGAATAAGATATAGCACGGAAAATAGGTTTTGTCGAGACATGGGTTACCTCTTAGCCTTAATCAATATCCTTGGCTACTAAGGTTCTTTCTCTAAGATCTTCTTTCCGTGGATTCTCCTACGTTTTGATGGCAGGGGGAATTCCTCTGTAGGTTTCTCTTTGGGAATATCTCGTGTGGTAGAATTAATTGTGGTAGGGTTTCTAAATGTTTCCTAAGTCCCTATATATAGATTTAGGAGTCCTAACTAGGGTCTGAATAGTAAGGATCCACTTATCCTATTTCTTATAGGATTAAGGATTTGGTTTAAGGACAAGGGTCCATGATCCATGGTGGGCCACATCAATTAATTAAAGGGAATCCTAACCAAATTAAATCCTTTCTAATTATTATTAACGGAATCAATTAAATAATTAATCCGGGTTAGAGGCCGTAACACGGGGTGTTACACTCATCCATTTTCAAGAAAGCTCAATATAAAATATTCGATTTGTAGAAAACTTCAACGGCACTTGGATCGTAAATTCGAGGTCGAATCTCTCTAAAGAGGGAGGGAATGTTGCGAATACATGAGCCATCCATGATTGAGTTGTTAATAAATTATGGTGCTATTATAATTTTAAATTAATTAGTTTTTACGAAATTATTATATTAATTATTTAGTTAGTTAATTTGGAATTTAAATATACTGTTTTTTGTTAGTTAGTATTAAATTAGATTTAGGAGTTTTTTTTTTTTTTTTTTTTTTTTTTTTTTTTTTTTTTATTTATCTTAGGTTTCTTTATTATTTGTTATTCATGTTTATCATGATTAGTTTGTTAGAATTTCTAGTTATCTTGGAAAGTGTCCAACGAAACTAGGATTCTACAACTATAAATACAGTTGTCTTATATGAATAAAAACAGAGTTGAGAATTTTTGAATTAGAAAACTGAGTGTTTTCTGGAACTCGGAATGAGTTCGGCTGTGAGTTGGTCATGGCAAACCTGACTTATCAAGTGTAAAACCTCACTTCTGGCGTCATCCCAAATCCTACGTATCACCTTATAACCCGGTGTGGCCGAGAACTTATCAAAACCCAAAAATTAACCCTTTTCCAAACCTAAATTAAACCTTTTAATCAGATTTCACCTAGCCTAATAAACTATTCTAAAATATTATTTTAGTCAGAGTGTGAAGAGAAGATCGGCCAACGAGGTTCACATCAGACTTGCTTGCCGTTGAGCATGAGTCAGGTTATAAGTGCTGCGGTGTCATGTTAGAGCTATATGCGCTAACCCCTTGATATTGGCACTAGAGGTGCGGATCATTGAATGGCACTGCAACACCATCTTGATATGTTGTGGTTGAAAGGTGGGTTCGTCGGTAGGGGCATGTAGTTGCCCGGAGGCATACGGGGTGGGGATATAAGGGTGGCCTGGAGGTATAGGTTGGAACTGATATAAGGACGGAGGGGAGTTATACGGTTGGAACTTGGTATAAGGGTGGAGGATGAACTGTGTGTTTTGTTGACTACTTGCTAATTGATTGTATTGAATGCCTTAGTTTCCCATACTCGTTATTTGCATGATTATCTACCTGTTATCTCTTGCATTGCATGTTTAGGACGCATGTTAATTTCTATGGTTATTATATGATATTGAGTTTGTTAATATGCCTTGAGTCTTGATTTTGGATTTAAACTAGAGTCTCGTAAGTATATATGTATTCCAGTTTCAAAATGAGTTTCTTATATTTACCTATATTGTACTTAACGCGTTGGAGTGGGTTACCAGCATTATTCGCTGACGGTTGTTATACCGAATGTTTTTCAGGTGACGAGTTTTAGCTTCGGAGCGCGCTAGTCAGAGCCTTGGACTTAGCTTAGTTAGTCTTAGTTCAGTAGTTGGCCTGCGTGCCTTGGGATTGTATTGAATATTGATTTGAGGATTTCTTATGCCTAGTTAGTTTAGCCTGTGTACCTAGGTTCTCGAACCTAGATGTGACATAGCACCTCGACTCTTATGGATAGTTGTATGCTCTATTTGGGATTAAATCAATGGATTCACCCCCTTTTTATAAGTTTTAAATATCTTGAAATTTAGGGGTGTTACAGTTGGTATCAGAGCCTAAGTTCAACCCTAGGACAATGCCTTTAGGATAAAACTTTGGGACATTAAGCTTGAACTCTAGGCACCTACATACTTGGGATGTTAAGAGTTAGACTTTAAGGATCTAAGTTACATCTAGGATAGTACTCCAAGTTGGAGACCTTAAGATGCTTAGCCGTAAACTCTAAGTATTTAAATACTTTGGACTTAGGGGTCTTTGGATGCGCGGCGAGGCTGTGAGTTTATCTATCATTATGTGCCTAACTTCTCCTCACTCTATCATGTGCTTAGTTTAAAAGATTCCCTATACTTACAGCATCAAGGTAAGGATTCGAACCCCTAACTTACCGTTACAATCAACATTGGCCCTGTAGAACACCAGAATGGCGCTAACAAGAAGCCAGTCCAGGACTCCTGAACCCTCTGCCCACGAATCACTAGTTCAGAACCTACAGCAACTAACTCAGGCCGCCCACACACTAAGCAACGCTATCCTCCACAACAATAACCAACCATCACCACCCCCACCAAACGGAAATTCAGATGTAACTCGCCAAGTCTCGAACCATCGCCCGCCTATCTTCTCAGGAGAAGAAGACCCCACATTCCTCGAAGAATGGATCTGAACCTTCGACAAGATCTTCGAGGTAGTAGAATGCCAGGAGGGACGTTGGGTAGAGATAACCTCCTTCTACTTTGGACACGAGGCCGATCTTTGGTGGGTTCACGAAGGACCTGCTTGTAGGCAAGAACCAGGGTTCAACTGGGAGTCCCTAAAAGTGCGACTACGGGGACGGTTTTACCCCACACACATAAGGGCAGCCATGTACGAGGAATTCCTCCACCTGAGACAAGGGATGTCCACTGTCATGGAATACCACAAACGATTTCTCGAGCTAGCTCGTTTCGCGCCTGAGTTGGTGCCTACGGAAACGACCAAGATAGTGAAATTTGTGACGGGCCTCAACGAGGCTTACACCAGCGCCGCCAACCTCTATCGGATCCAACTTCTGCAATGAGGAGTTCAGGAACAGATCCGCAAGAGGAATACCGGAAGCGGGGGACCGCCTGTGAAAAGAGCAAGGAACGACTCTAACACAAGGACGATTAACCCATCTAATCAAGGATCGTCTATGAGGAACAACGAAACCAACGAGGGACCATTTTTTTGTCGGAGGTGCAATAAAGATCATAGGGGCAAGTCCTGTCTTGGAAACACCTTGCGGTGCTTCTACTGCGGGGGAGAAGGACATAAGGCCTTCCAGTGCACTCGACCCCCGAGCACAAACCCTGCAATCATGGGCCAACAAGGGAGCGCGAATAACCGAGGGAATTACAGGTAATGCGAACCTGGTTGGCCCGATCTTCTCTTCACACTCCAATTACAAAAAATATTGTAGGATGGTTTATTCGGTTGGGTGAATTTGAATTGAAGGTTTGATTTAGGTTGGGAAAAATGGCTAATTTTTGGATTTTTATGAGTCCTCGACCACACCAGGTTATAAGGTGATACGTAGGATAAGAATGACGCTACAAGTGGGGTTTTACACTTGATAAGTCAGGTTTGCCATGACCAACTCACAGCCGAACTCATTCCAAGTTCCAGAAAACACTCAGTTTTCTAATTCAAAAATTCTCAACTCTATATTTCATTTAGAACAAATTGCACTTTTGGTCCTGTGACTATTAGGGAACTGATAATTTGAGTACGTGACTTTCAAAACTCTCAATTTAAACCTTTAACTACGCAATTATTAGCAGATTTGGTCCTGCTGACCAATTTTGGCTGGAAAAATGTAATTCTTTTAAAATTATTTATTTATAAGGGCAAAATGGTCATTTAACGTCATTTCTTCTTCTTCTTCTTCTTGCATCTGTGTAATTCACTCCCTGGATCAGATCATCAGCGGAATCGGGTTTCCCATGATAACCCGGCACAAATGGCAACCCTAGATTCAACGCTAATCCAGAATTGAACAACATCTTGAAATTAGAACTTTGAAAATCGCAACTAAGAATGCAATCCATAACACAATTACATATGAAACAAACAAGAAATCAAGAACTCAATCTTATAATTCCTCTACTTTCTCAGTGGAAATGCATTGTGATTTTCATAAAACAAAAATTTTCATTTGTGCTCTAAGAATCCGAACAGGAAACTAAAGCAACTAGAGAAGTAATTACCAAGATAATCAATAGTGATTCGTCCATTGGAGAAGCGGCCAGTAGGTTGGCGAGTGTCGAAATCCCGTCCGTAAGGAAGCCTATCGGCCCGAGCGAAGTTGCCGAGAAAAGTGTGGTTTCCACAGTCGACGGAGGAGTCTCCGATCACGGACAAAGCCGGAACCAGCGGCGGAGAAGAAGAATAAATGACGTTAAATGACCATTTTGCCCTTATAAATAAATAATTTTAAAAGAATTACATTTTTTCGGCCAAAATTGGCCGGCAGGACCAAATATGCTAATAATTGCGTAGTTAAAGGTTTAAATTGAGAGTTTTGAAAGTCACGTACTCAAATTATCAGTACCCTAATAGTCACAGGACCAAAAGTGCAATTTGTTCTTTCATTTAGAATGCAATGACCTTAAATAGCCATTAACAACCAAATTACAACCACATGAATGAGATAGTTATTACGAATAGGATAAACTAATCCTAACTAACCAACTAAGATAAACATTAATAATAATATAATACTAACAAATTTAAATCTAAGATAATTTTAAGATAATCATCCTAATTAAATAATAAAACTAATTCTAAAATATTCTAATATTCTAACAATTAATTGTTGATTCCCATGCCCACAACATTCCCTCTCCCTTTAGAGAGATTCGACCTCGAATCTACGATCCAAGTGCCGTTGAAGGTTGCTACAAATAGAATATTTTCTATTGAGCTTTCTTGAAAATATGGGTTGTCGTCAATGGGGTTGTTTTTCCTGCAATCTTCTTGTGCATGCAATGTAAACAAATCTTTCAATATTGTCACTTTTTCATACTTTTTTTTTTTGCACAACTCACTTCAATTCAACAGGAATACACGAGAAATTTGATGCAAAGTATCTAGAAATTTAAATCACATCAGAAACAACAATTAACAAAAAAAAAAAAACAACCAGAAACTGACCCAACTTGTTGAATTTTCTGGAAAATATTGGTATTGAATTTTGAGACCAAAATTTCCAGATATCAACTTTAATAGGATTAAGACATGCACAAAAAAGTTCAGAGCAAAACAATGAAAGAAACTATTTTTTCTAATTTTTCAAAGTCGATCACGCAAAACTGCGAAATTCAGAAAAATTTGAGAAATTTCTGGGAACAGATGGTAACGAATTTTCACTAAATTTTTTCCTAGATTTCAAGTTCAACAAGAGTATGAAATGCAGAAAAAAATTTAGAAAAACAAGACACAAGAAACTATTTGTTTCGTATTTTCAAAGTTTACTGCGCAAAACTGCGAATTTTTGACAAACTATATTTTTTCTACTCAAAATAATGTTTCGAGATGGATTATAACTTCTTGGAGCGTGAGAAAAACCTAGGCTCTGATACCAAACTGATACGGATCCCTCGGGGATGAATTCGAGATTCAATACTCTAAAAATCCGAAGTTGGCCCGATCTTTTCCTCACAAAACGGCAACAACAAGAAATAAGGTTTGGGGTTTAGGAGATGATATTTGGCTGATGTAGGGGCTGGTTAAGGGATTATTTTTGGTGTTTTTAATAAGGATATTTATTTGAGATTTAGTTTGTTAGGTTTATTTTATCATTTGTATTTATCTTAGTTTGTTAAAGATTTATTTTGTATTTATCTATTTTTAGTTTGTTGAGATTTTAGTTATCTTGGGATTATAGTCCTGAATTACTAAAACTCTACATCTATAAATAGGGGGACAAATTATGAATAAATAGATTCGAGATGAATATTTTAGAATGAAAACTAAGATAGTTTTCTGGAACTCGGGATGAGTTCAGCCATGAGTGATTCATGGCGTTCCTGACTTATCAAGTGTGAAACCCCACTTGTGGCGTCAAGTCATTCTCGTATCGCTCTATAACCGAGCGTGGGCGAGAATCAATTCGAAAACCACAAAAACAAACCCTTACCCAACCTAAAATTAAACCTTCAAATCAATTTCACCCAGCCAAATAAACCATTCTATGATATTCTTTGTAATTTGAGTGTGAAGAGAAGATCGGGGCAACCAGGTTCGCATCAAAGTCTAAGGTGGGTGTGTGCCTTTAGCACAGTCACCGGTATGGCATGTACCTTTAGTACAATGACCGGGCACAAGTGGTGCCAACCGCCAACAATTTATTTTTCACCAATCACAATCTCATCATCACATCATCATCAGTCACACTAGCCATTGCGCAATGACCACGATACTCATCATCATCCAATCAATCAACACATAATCACATAACAAGCAAGACACAACAACGGTGACACGTATCACACATAAAATCCTAGAACGATGCCTAAAACACCAAACGAGACTCATATATGACAAACGAGGTACAACGGGACACGAGGAAATATCAAACGGGAAAAAACACCACGAACCACGCCGGGATTCTAGCGGGTAGGTGGCGGGTGGAGGACCACCCGCCAGCCACCCGCCGGCGGTCGGTTACTATTCCAGCGGGTGGCCGGCGGGCAGACCACCGCCCGCCGGCTGCCCGCTGGAACAATATTGCGGGCAGCGGGTAGGTGGCGGGTAGTCAGTCCCCCTACCTACCCCCCACTGATACACAGGAAACTTTTGAGTTCTGGGATCCCTCGTGGAACCCGAAACCATGTCCAAACACATTCAAACACATAACGACAACACCACGTATTCAAGTAACGAAATTAAACCAAGAAACACACCAAATATACCCTAACTCGATTCCTAAACATGCCAAGACTTAACATAAATCACATAACGACCCATGGACATCAGGAATCACAAGAACATCAAGAAATCTATATGCAAAGTCCTAAACACAAGTCCTAGGCTAGACTCAACACCCGATCATGCAAAATCCCACCCAAATATACCAAGAATATCATAATACAAAATCCACGATACAACCCTAGGGCTCTAGACATAATCAAAATACAAGATCATTCATATAATTTATCATAGTATCAAGAACATCAAGATTATCACATAAACATCAAGATTATCACATAAGCATCAAGATTACCACATAAAC